ATTGCTAATGCCATTCTTCATGATTTTGGGCTTGAGCTGAACTATACACAAGTATGGCGTGGAATTGAAGATGCTCGGCAGCAACTTCAGGGTTCTTACAAAGAGGCGTATGGTCAGTTGCCTTGGTACTGTGATAAGATAGAAGAGGCAAATCCTGGGAGTTTTACGAAGCTTCTTATTGGAGATGATAGAAAATTTCAGCATCTTTTTCTATCTTTTCATGCTACAATTTGTGGTTTTGAAAGTGGTTGTCGTCCACTTCTTTTCCTTGAGGCCACCCCTTTGAAATCAAAATACCATGAAATTTTGCTCACAGCCACTGCACTTGATGGTGATGATGGGATTTTCCCTGTTGCATTTGCTATAGTAGATATTGAGAATGATGAGAGTTGGCATTGGTTTTTGGAGCAGTTGAAATATGCATTGTCAACTTCTCGTTCTATAACCTTTGTCTCTGATAGAGATAAGGGATTAATGAAGCACGTGCTAGAAATATTTGAGAATGCTCACCATGGTTACTCAATATACTACTTGATAGACAGCTTCATACAAAACTTGAAGGGTCCATTCCATGGAGAAGGGAGGGCTTCATTGCCTGGAAGTTTCTTAGCTGCAGCCAGAGCAGCCCGAGCTGATGGGTTTAGGATGTACACTGATCAAATTAAACGGGTTTCTTCAAATGCTTATGATTGGGTCATGCAAAATGAGCCTGAGTACTGGGCAAATGCATTTTTCAAGGGTGAGCATTTTAATCACGTAACATTTGACATTGCAGAGTTATATGCTAACTGGATAGAGGAAGCACGAGAACTACCCATTATACCAAAGGCAGAAGTACTAAGATGTAAAATAATGCAGTTGATGAATGGTTGTCAAATGGAATCGAGTAACTGGTCTACAAAACTTACTCCATCTAAGCAGGAGAAGGTACAAGAAGAATGTGCAAAAGCATGTGGTCTAAAAGTATTATTTTCATCTGATACCCTTTTTGAAGTTCATGATAATTCCATTAACGTAGTGGATATTGATAAACAGCACTGCAGTTGTGCGATGTGGAAACCAACTGGGCTTCCTTGTCGTCATGCTATTGCTGTCTTTAACTGCACAAGGAGGAGTCTATATGATTATTGTTCAAAATACTTTACAGCTGATAGCTTCCGATCAGCATACTCTGAGAGCATAAACCCTGCTTGTACCATTGCTCACCCCAGTGGAAATGAAAAAGATGGAATAGAAGATTATGAGCAGATAATTCCTCCATGCACCTCACGGCCATTGAGCCAGCAGAAGAAAATAAGGCGGACCAAAAGCCAGGGTATTATCAGAAGATCAGTCTGTTGCACTAGGTGCAAAGGAGTCGGGCATAATAAGGCTACATGCAAGGAAACCTTATAGGGAACACGTGCTCCCGCTTGTATGTATCACGCTGTACAGCTTTCATGATTACGTTATATATTCCCACTTCCTTTGAATAACATCACGATGGGCTCAGCATTTGCATGGCTAACGTGTGTTGTTATTCAAAGTTGCATATATGTCTTTAGGCTAAATTAGTTATAATATGAACCAATCTTACCATTGTTTCAAAAACCCATTTTGAAGAGCAACTAGCCATATTTCTGAAATGCCTCCTGGGCATCTGGTTTCGGAGTTATTAACAGTTTGAATGGGTTGTAGGGGTGGATCAGGGACAGGCTCAAATGCCTTCAACCAAATGGGCATTTGACTATTTGTTCAACCTGAACTAGGCATCGCCTTTTAATTCCCTGTAGAGGATGATGAAAGCCAAGATTTTCATTAACCTCCTCTGAGCTAACTCAGCTTCATACAGGGCTTGAAACCTAAGAACAAGTACAATGCTAGGAAATCTGGAAATGGTAGTAATCTTTAATCATCTATCCTCCATCTGCTCCATGAGGCAGTGAATGCCGTTTTGGTAGGCTCTTGCCATGGTTAATTGCGGTGGAAAATGCTATTAAGTAGCATTTAGCTGGGTTTTGTTACTAGGATTCCGTTCATTCATTAATGCCACTGCAACTCCTACTTGTGGTAAAGGAACAATCGCGGAGATTTTAGTAAGGGGTAAATGCCCAAACCCATTTCTAAAACCAGAAACTGCATTCCCTGGTCAAGACCAGTCTCTACTTCATGCAACCTCTACAGATGAACGATGCTTCTTAAAAATGAGCTTTGGATGGCTCTTTGTGCCTTATCTTTTACTTTCTAATAAAACTTTAAAAGTGAGATTTAGATGGCTTGGTGTATTATCATTTAATGACCATCAATAGAATGTAATTATCAAAATGATGATCTTCGAGCATTAAATTATTGAAAAAATATCATTATAATTATTGTTATATATAAAAAAAATATTCCGTCTTTAAAGGGTTGTTTTGAATCAAAATTACCATAAATGCTAGAAGATTGTTTTCATAAATCATTTATTTAGATTATTAGATGGCAAAAGTTATTTCAGATTATTGTTTCTTTTTTCAATGCAAGTTTTTCTCTTAACTCTTTTCGAACTGTATATATAATCTCCATGGGCAACTAGTGTTCATATATCAAATCATGTCAAGTATTGTGCTACATAGTTTTACATAACCTAAGGGCCGTTGTTGATTATAAAATCATGCATTGCCTCTGGATACAACAGTCACATGTTCTACTTGGTTGTAATTTTGTTCTACTGGAACACACTACTTTGTTCTGTTGCCATAAACCATACAAACCCGGCCTTTGTAAGTATCTTTGATGGGGTTATATTTCTTTCTTTTAGATGAATAATAATTCTTTGCATGCAGCAGTTATCTGTGCAGCTGCTTCAGTAATAGCTTTTGGAAGTCGTTTTATTGAAAGACAGAGATCTGGGAACAACATATCTATTGATTCTAGTGTCAATCGAGATCAAGAAAGGGAGATGTAAATTGACAGTGTTTTACACAGAGGTGATACCTATAATAGGAACCAAGTAATAAGAGACCAATTGCAATTTTAAGTAAGAATAATTTACTACAATCAAGTAGATATGTGTCTATGAGAGAGCAAGTGATTAGATTTTTACATTTAATTTGTCATAATGTAAAACTGCTAGTGATTGAATTGAGATATTTTAAAATTATCTTAAAATCAATATTGAAATTATATAAAGATATGATTAGATTATGTTATGATTCCGACCTCACTTGAAATAAAGAATAATAAAGTACAAATAAATTTATGAGGACAAAGTAATGATACATGTTACATATATTTTTCTAAAGTTTTATCCTAATATTTTGCATATTATATAGTAGAAAATTAATTTTTGTTACTAAATTAAAATAAACAAATCTACAGCATGAATTTTTTATCAATAAAAAGATTGACATGTATAACAAAATGACGTTAGTTGTTGGGAAAAATATAACAATTGATATAAAGTTGAAAGAGAAGATTGAAGCTGACTCAATATGTATGCACTGGGACAATGAGGTTGATGAAGAGGTCGGACGGGGACAACAGTTTTATCATTTGAGACTTCACTACCGCAATCTCATCGCAAAAGGGGTCACAGTTCCACTGTTGGAGATGACAAACTTGACAAAATGTCCTAAAGATTGAGAGATATTGCCTTCGATGTTGTGGTCTTTTATGAGCAACTGATGACGATGGAAGGGCTGGATGAGGTATTTCTTGCCTTTGCTATTTAAGGTAAAGGCGTTCATGGTCGAGAGTGCCAACTTTAGAAGAGTTTGGTTGGAGAATTTCTTGTATCCTAGGGATAACAATTAAAATTTTATGGTTTATGCAAAGTTTATTGATTGGTTGTTAGATGATTTTAATTACGTAGAAGGATTATTTGTAGGTCACTTTCATTTATTTATATATAATATATTAAATGTTGGAAAAAATCTTTTCAATGTTGATTTATTTATGGTTTTATGGTGAAAAATTAATTTTTAAGGGCAAAAAAATTATTTTTCAGTTTATATAAATAAGAAATATTATTAAATTTTGTAATAAAATATATTTTATAAAAAAATTAATTTTCGATTAACAAACATATTCACAATTGATTGTTATTTAAGTTCACTCTATCTATACTATATTTCTTTAACATATAAAACAAAAACAGAAAAAAAAAGAAATGTGTCCAAAAAACAATAGTGAAACCAAAAAATGTTTGAACCGGGCCTTAATCACCTGTATCAAGCCCACATAAATTTAAAATCACTCTATTTCATTATAAATTGAGGTTTGTTCCATAATCAGAAAAATAATTTATTGGTGAAAAATTTTTTCTACGTAAAACATTTTATAAAAAAATTTAATATAAAAATAACTTTTATTTAGAAAATTTTTTATGTAAAATATTATATTAAAAAACTTAATATTTTCTATTGTTTGGATAAACTGTTAAAAATATTTTTTATTGTTCGTATTTTGTAAAAAAATATTTTTTATCATCACTTGAGTATTAAAATAATAAATAAGAGTTGAATAAAAAATAATTATGTCTTTTGATTTTCAAATTAAAATTAAGAATTAAAATAAAAATAAAAAGATAATAATAATATTTTTCAAAACATTTAACCACATGTTATAATAAAAAAAAGTTTCCATTTCCAAAAAAAAATTCATCTCATCATTTTTTTCCAAATCACTATAAAAATATCAATATTCATCAATTGTGTAAAACATTCAAAACTTATATTTATAAATGTGTATTCATTAAATGACAATCATTAAAATATTCTTTGTTATAAGTATTAGTAAAATTTATTGAATTTATAAATAAAAATATTAATAACATGGACTGATTTTATTAAACATATTTATTTAATTTTAATAGTATTGAATAATTTAAATATTAATATTTTAAGTCAAAATTTTTTAAACTAAATATTAATATATTTTAATTATTTTAATATTTTCAGTTAAATATACAGGCAGAGCATTTTCAAGCCTTCATGGCTCTCAACTGGCCGTAATACTGGCAATATAACGCATGGTAAAGATCCTAATCTGTAAAACTTCAGCTTAGATCACAACAAACCGCCTGCATTTTATGCCCTAATTAAGTATGTCATATTTCTTCTAGAAAATTAGTATGATAAATGTGCCCACCTCTGTACAATCACTCCTTTCCACTAGAAGCATCAAACTTGTGATAGTGAACCCGAACATAAAGGACATGGCGGGTCACGCCTATCCTCGAGGCTTGTTCTCTCTTCCAAACAATCAGCATGATATACATGCCCACAAACTAGAACTGCCACGACAGAGAATTCACCAGAAGCCAGTGCATTTCCAAGTAAATAAGGTTTCCGTCTCAAATGCTTCTGGCATATGCCACAAACAATCTTCACCTTGTCAAGTGATACTGCATCCATCACCAATGAACTAGACGTTATTCGCTCTGGTCTGCTAAATGCTTTTTCCCTACCATCTGCAAAAGTTGCAAAACAGAAGTCAATATGGCAAAAAACCATAAGCAGAGAATGTTGAAAATTTTATGCCGCAAAAAATGCTGAGACAAGAAATGTAAGTTTAAACTAGCACCATTTTATTGAAGCTCATATGATTCAACTCTTTAGTTATCTAAACAGTGAAAGAGAAGAAAGAACATGACTTTCTGAAATTTTGCTGAGAGTTTGTTACTATAAAGTTAAGTTTGGTATGAGTCCCAGCATCTTGTTTTACAATTTGTGCAATGATCTTGATGAGATAAAAAATTCATTTCCCAACTGTTACATTCTATGGAAACATAGAGATTCTTGGCATGAAAACCAATAAGAGTTGCATACAACCTCCATGGCATGCAGACTCTGGGCAGTAGTGAGCAAACTTGAAGGGTAATCTCTCATCATGTAAAGGACTAAACTTGCCATGAGAAGTTGATGCATTAGCAAGGCTGCCAGAATTCCGGCGTGAGTAGTGATGGCCATAGTAATGGCGTGATCGTTTTAGAAATATGGAGCGCCCAAGATTGTACTGGCGATGAGCAACAGAAGAGTTGGAATTAAGCAGCTTCACAGAACTATCTCCAGCATCCATGCCAGCATCCAAATTCGAAGAATGCTATAGAATAAGGAGAAAAAAATAACGAAACAATGCAGACAATTCAGTTGAGAAAGAGATGATTAAGAAAAAGCAACAGCATAAAGATATCTAAGACTATTCTGACCCACGGTTGAATCATCTCCAATTTTCCTTCATCAAGTACAAGATGCATCAAGATATGTTAGAAATGAAGAAGAACTATTTTCAAATATGAATAAAGAAAAGAACAAACCTTTTTGGATAATAATTCCGTTCCTGAAGAGCACGGCATGTCGTCTGCAACATTCAACATAAAGCACAATGAGTATTCACATTCTGATTGTTTACATCTAAATGGGAAGCTGTTCTTAGCAATTTTCACAACATTGGATTATTAAACTGAAGATAACAATCAAGTCCTCCATTGCATGAAGATATTTCTTATTCCTTGATTTGAAAGCAACATGACCAAATCTCATCATGACACATCAAGATAGCAATCCTATGTTAAACCAAAAATAGGGATAACAATTCAGAAATAAATGTAGCAAATTGCAGAAGCAAATGCAAACATGGTACACTTAAAGACAAGTAAAAATAGAAACAGAACATCAAAAAGAAAAAAAAGATAATTTCTGTTTCGTTTCTAACACAAACAGGAGCAGATCAACTTAATAACATATATAGAAGGCCTAGAGGTTGAAGAAAATAAAATTGAGGTTCACTTGTTATGATTCAAATTTGATGAACCTGAAAGGAGGATGTTCAGCACAATGCATTCAAGGGTACGCAAATTGCTTCAATGCTACCATGTAAACAAACTCAATCTAGAGGTCCTACATTCAGTAATAAAATGCTAAACATCTTGAAAGGCGCACATGAACCTAGACAATTTCCAATCAAATAAATCAGAGAATAAAATTGACAAAAGGAATATGTACATAAAGGCATATACCACATAAAAAATAAGAAGAAGAAAAAAGGTTGGCTTCAAAACTGTTTAAGCTATTGTAACCTATATAATTCCATTAGTTGTCCTTGCAAATAAAGGTCAAGATTAGTTATTCACAGCTATAATAAGGTGGCCTAACAAGGCTAGAGGAGTTCAAATGGCATAGGCATAAAGCGGTTTACTGACAGTAGAGAAGTTGTAATGTCATTCCTGAATATAACTAAAACTGAAAATTTGTGGGCCAAAGAAGTTTTAAAGAGGCAGGCATAGAGAATATAATCTCTCAAAAGCATATAACCACTTTACCATACAAACTTTGCAATATTTATCAACAGAATTCTCTAAGTTTCACAATAGCAAGTAGGCTGGTATGATCAAAATACAATAAAATTAGGTAATGACATAAAAGGGGAAAGAAGCCAGACTGAGCTCTGTCCTTCAGAAGATTCTAGGCAACAGAACTGATCATTGCAAACATAAAAAGAAAAGGTTGGATAGCAGAGTGCTAGGTAGCAATTAATTAAGTAGAAATCAGAACTCCATCAGCAAAACTAACCAAGCAAGGGACTGCATTATATCAAAATACAAGCATTGATTGTCCAACCTATTTTCTAACAAAATGAACCTCCTTTCCTCTCCATATCTCATATTGCATAAAATCCCAGAAATGTACTCAGTACCCCATATCAAATATTCACATCAACAACAAGCATTTCCATTATCAATGAACAACAAGAGTAGCTTAAATTAGCAATTCAATAAATTAAAACCAAGAGGTATCAACAGCGAAAACAAGAAGCAAAACGTTAAATAATCCCACCTATTAACAAAGTGACACATATCAAATATAGCGGAAAATAACTAAAAACAATAATGAAATAAACACTACAAAACAAACCTGGAAACCCCAATTCTTAATAAAGCAAGAATAGACATACACTTAAAAACAAACCTGGAAACCCCAATTCTTAATAAAGCAAGAATAGATATACTCAATAATTATTGCACCGAATTCTCACAAAATTGGCCAACATTATTCATACACCCAAATATCTCTTTTTTCCAAAACTTTATAGAAACAATAAATAAAAAAAAAGAAAAGAAAAGAAAAGAAACGTACCCGAAGAAGAAGGAAGGTCGAGATTGTTAGGTTGGGAACTTCTCTTTCTCTTCCCCATAATATTAAATTCAGACAAAGAAAAAAAAGGAAAGAAACAAAATATAGTAAATTATCCCAAATTAAAATGGCAGAGAAAGTTTTTTGGGAAGTAACATTCAACGGCTGAGAAACAATAACCCCAAAATTAATTTAAAGTGGCTTTATTTTTTTATTTTTTTAAAAGGATTTTTGGGCTATTTTTGGGTTTTGGGACTGTACGGTCAGTAAGATTTTGTAGAGAAAACAGCAGTAACTGAGATCCAAGCCGGTAGTCGCTTAGGTGTCCCATGAAAAAATTATATTCTTAATAATAATAATAACGATTTATTTTGACAATAGAAAAAGGTTTTATGTTCCAAATTTGCTACACATGCTTTATTTCTATGATGAATTCGTTTTTGATTAAAAGATAATCTAACTTTAATTTGAATGTTAATTAAGTTTATTTATCGAAATGTTTTTGGTTGTGCATTCGTTCAGGAACACTTTGCTCAAGACGAGGTTAGGAGCAACCGAAAGCTGCCCGCTGGGCCTCTAATCTCTATTTGGGCTTTGCTTTGTTTCCCAAAGTAAAGGGAGACCGACTTTGTGCTCTCTTGGAAAAGCAGATTCTGATAATTTTCTTTTTCAAAGCAAAAATGCGAATAGGATAATTGCAAAGAAGTGGACAGAGTTCATCATTTTTCAAAACTCAAATCCTAGTGCTTTTGCTTGGAGGCCTGAAAAGGAAGATGGGCCAAAGCAACTTTTCTGCCTCTATCCAAAGAGAATTTTGCCTACAGCAACATCTCATTATCTCAAGTGGGAGTTTGTTACACGTCTAATGCCTTATGGCTAATCTAAACTTTTAATACTTATCTCTATCATTAGAAAATTGCCAAGTATGTATATGATTCAACTTACAGTAGTCCAATATAATGAAATACTACAAAGTTAATCCCACCTAATCTCCACGATAGAATAAAGGGATTTATGAATGTAGTTGCCGACATACATGTTAAAAAACCATTATAAAGAAACAACCAAATCCTCCCTTCTTTCATGTTTGCTCACCTTTAACATAAACAAGGCTCGCACCAAACGGTTTTGTTGTTTATTTTTAAACAACAAAATAATATTTGCCTTTATGTTCAACGTCGTTCTCACTTGGTGCAACTGCTCCTACCTTAAATAATGTTTGCGTGCAGGTTTTTCCTGTTCTAAAAGAAGCACAACACGTTGGGGATTCCCAGAATTAGTCTTGTATGGATGAAGCTGTCATTGGTCTATCTGGCATCGATTGGGACAACGTAAGAATGTTGTTTCAGAATATTAATCTTACACTGAATGTGACGTATGCCCAAGAAGTTTGTGCCATGGGCTGGCTTTGATAATGTTCGATCGAGAAAATGAATTGTCCGATTGCAATTGGGCATCATTCTATTCAATCATTAATTTAGGGTGATTTACATAGGCTGGCTCATACTCGATTATCTTCCCAGCATTACATTCGTATCACATGGAAATTAATTTGGGTTTGTGAGAGTTTGATTAGGAAAACAGATTAATATTAAGGAATAGGTAAGTGTTTATTGCTTGCAAGGCAATTATGTTAACCGCTGAATGACGGACAACACCGTGCTTGCGGTGCCTTCTTCAGTCAATTAAGTCTTTGACGTTAACATTAATGAAGAGGATGGGCAAATGGACAACTTGAAGCTTAATAAAAAGAAAGAGAAAAATCACTCAAAAAAAAAAAAGATCTTAATTATAGTAATTTATATTTTATGTATTGGTAGTTAACAATGTGCGGCGGTTGATTTGTTTTTCGATTTTTGGTAACAATTGATTAAAAATTTTTACAATATAACCAACTGAATCTCATAAGATGTAATATCGGTTTTTGTCGGTTCGGTCGGGTTAGAGAGAGAAGGAGTCAGGAAGAGGCAGAAAGCAAGAAAGGAAGGAGGAGAGAAATTAGGTCGGCGAGCTCAGGGGGGAATTTAGGACTGTGACTCATCCGAGGGAATTTAGGTTGCAAGGCGGGGGGAAATTAAGCAAAATGGTAAAACGTAATTTTATCTTCAAAAAAAAAACTTCATCGATTTTTCGATCGATTTGGGAGAAAGGAATCCCCTCTCACGATCGAGTCGACCGATCGGAACAATCGACGGCAACCGACCGCCGCTCTGTCCTATTGGCAGCTGCGCCAATATCTTATGGATTTAGCTTGACTTCCAACCAAATTCAGAAGGATTTTCCAAGTGCTTAAAGGAATATTTAAAAATTTTTTTATGAAGAAAAAAATGATGAAAACTCCACGTTAACGACATTGAAAATAAAGTACCTCTTACTTTTTGGGAGCTAGAGAAAAAGAAGTCGCAACTGCTTGGAAACTATCAAGTATTGTACTTTTACTAAAGGACCCGCATGCCAGTGGCCTGTGGGCCTAAATTTTTACATCAAAAACCGAATGCACCTTGTAATAATTCACATATATGTACATATAAGTCGAAAAGAAGCAACCAGCCATAAGTGTCAGCAAGGAATAGAAACGTGAAGAAGGTCATCTTTCAACAAAGCTTTATTGCAAAATGACTACAGGCTACAAGCACATAATTGGGAGAAATAGAGAGCGGGAGAGAGGGTCCATAGATACCATATCATTTCAATAATAAGACAACCCTAAAATTTCATATTCAGACAAAAGCAAGTGGATCCGACTGATTTTGGCCCGGTCTATGTAATTTACTCTTCTCTAGCTAAATGTCACTGTTACTAAATCAAGGGTATTTATCTCTAAATTGTCGTTACCTTATTAGCAATTAAATTTGAGCTATACAAAACAAGATAACCCGTGTTGAAAAAATGGGATCATATTGATAAATCAAATCAGTTGATTGCGAATACGTGGTTTATTCGGTCCAATTAATGGGGATTGATTTGCTGGACGGACTAAATCGATTTTTGTGTTAAAGTTTTATTTTTTATTTTTTCAAGCGATAAGATTTGAACTCTTACCTTTTTAATTATTAATTAAAACTCTTATTATATATCAAAAGTAATTTTTATATCTTTTTATCATATATTTAAAACAAAAGTTTATTTTCTAAAGAAAAAAAAAACGTTGAGATGGAATTAATTACTTAAATCAAGAATCAATGACATAGCCAGTTCAGTCTTAATACTATGCTTTTTTATAAATCTTACATTCTCTTTTTAAATATTCAAATATAAGATTTTGAAAAAAAAATTAATTAAAAACTAATTACTATAATTGAACTAAAATGAGAATAATGGAATATGGTTTTAGAAAAAAAAATTAAGTTCAAGTTGTAAGTTTTTCTTGTAATAATTTTTTTTTGCTAATCCACGTTTTTAAAAGCATTTAGTTGGTGTATTAATGTAATTTTAAAAAATAATCATTTTCGGCATCAATTTTGATATTTAATGTAAAGATTCTTTAAAAATACCGTTTGAATAAGTTCTTTAAAAACATTATAGTTAGAATTTGCCTTTGTCGTTTAAAAAGAGATAAATTAATCATATGTTATGCTGGCAGCGCCAATAATTAGTTAATATAGTATTATTTCTAAAAGCGTTGGCAAAGGAATCACCAAATATTGGCAAAAAGCCAGGCTGGCCTTGGATCCCTGACCATGGATTGCTTTGTTTCATTAGCAGAACTAGCCACCTAGGCCCACCACCACCAGTTAATGATTTTACTTCCAGTCCTCGGCGAAAGCGGAGGCTTTGTTGACGTACAAATATCCCAAAATAGAAGCCGAAATAAATAAAAAATTACGAGTACTACACTCTTAAACAGGGAGACTAGACATGCACCCTGGCAAAGGACGACAACAAAAAAGGTGAGATCTGGAAATGGGGCGAGGCCGTGAGGGTTAGGCACAGAGACATGGGGCTAGAGCCGATGGTCCCAAAGTGACCCGTGACCAGTGACCAGCCATGACAGCACAGTCCCAACAGGCCAGCCAGCCAAACTTCGCTCTCCTCCGACCAAAGCATCCCCATTTTCCTTTTTTTTTTATTTATTTTTTATTCATTGTCACGCATTATTTTATTGGTGATCTGTAATGTCCAGTAGGCACCCAACGGTTGCCTTCTCTCTTTCTCTTCGAAGATGGCACGACAAAATCCGTAATTTGAAGTTCAAAGTGTGTGTTTAATTTTAATTTTACTGACAAGGAATGTTTAGCTTTTCTTTATAAAGACTATTTGAATGCCAATTCATTCAATACGAGAATATGAATCTTTACCTAAAATCCGATTAATATCTCTGACTATAAAATAATAGCAAACCAAAATATTTTAAGAGAGAATCCCATGTTTAGAACAAGTGTGAAGATCATGCTTCCCTGCATTTGTGGAGTTTATGCGAAGTGTTTGTCAATACCTTTAGCATGGTTTTAAAAAGAGGTTGCGAATTTGGGAATCATGTGCTTTGTTTTAAGGTTAATGGGCGAATTTATTTACAATGGGTTTTATCACTAATTTCAGCCTCATATAATTGAAGCAAAACGCATGTCTATATAGGATATTTTAAAGCCTGCATGCCTAGTGCAAATTTGTTTCACTAACTATTGAATTGTTGTTCATTTTTCTTCGTTCAATTTTTCTTTTTCATGAGATTAAGGGATTGATTCTAATGATAGTGATATATTAACTTATTATTTACTTTTCAACCTTATATCCTTTCAAACATTTTAATCTTCCTCACAGCATTTTTACAATAATTTCAAAGGATATTATTCCATAAGAATTCCTCGCAACATTTGTCGAACATACGTTTCCTCAGCTTGAACTTTTCTGCGAACCGCAACAGTAGTGGTTGGCCGAGGGAGGGAAGTGTTGCATTTGATGCGAAGAAAGTTCAGATTTCAAGAGTGGGTCCATGCGAGGTTCTTTGTGTTGGCTATGAGGCTGCCTGCCATCTACTTTGGGTGAACGGTCCTGATCTCCTCCTCTTCTTAAATGTTTGGTGGGGCCTAAGTTTTTTGACGTTACATGATTGATAGCATCATGCAAAAACGAAGTAGTCACAACTCCCACACCACAAATTTAACCTCCCTAACAAAAACCCCCCAAAAAAAATGTAATTTGTTTTTTAAAAGAAAAGAAGAACCGATTGAGGCACGCAATGCGTCTAGAATACGCCGTCGTTGGATTTATCCGAATCAACGCCACGTCGTCAAATTCCAAAAAGAATAGAGGAAAAGTTTCTTCCCAATCAGGTTAAGGGCAAATCCTAGACAAAACAACGGTACTTTGCGTTCATTTACGGAGACGATGTCGTTTTCATTGCCTTGCGTTGTCCAAGTGAGAAATTCCCTTGCCATAGGAAAGTTCTTGCCAAATATAAAAACATATTCGTTGCATTTGGTCCATAATTTATTGTAATTTTGACAATCAATTATTATTTAATTTTCAATTCAATGAGACAATGACTAGATCAAGCCACTGTTTTCCCCTCATTTAAATATGTTCATATTATTTTGTGTGCAATACTCTTTGCTAGCCAAGATAGATCATCCTAA